TCCCTCTTCACTATTCATCTCACCTGCATTCACCTCCATCAGGCATTCAGGATTGCAGAGGAGGTTTAACAACCTAGCACACTGTGCTAGCTACACAGCAGCATTCAAAACCTACAGCTTCGGGGATACACAGTTTGTCTTGACATTATAAAGTCTGGTTTCAAAAAGGCCACTCACCTACAGGGCAGGCTGGGCCAGGATACATCTAAACATATATTCATGATTTTGTAGCACTGCTTCCTATAGCAAGGCTTCAGACCTGCAGATTATTCAGTTTACTGACTTGAGTGTAGAAGGCATTTAGGTCACTCATGGCTACACACTTCCCTCCCTCTCCAAAAAATCACTTTTCTACAAGTTACTAGTGCAGGTTCAGAGACAGGTTTTATTACTGTAATGGTGAGTATCAAGATGTGAATTTTGTCTTGCAGTCCATCTACTGCACAACTGCACTATTACCTTCTTCAATATGTGAAGGCAGTTTATCTATTTTGGGCAATATCTACAGACCAATAAAAGCCAAGATCACTTAAGGAGAAACAAAAAGCACAGACCTTTTAATTTAAATGGCAGCTTTATTAATTTAGCTGTTGTCATGTCACCTGAATGTAAGCCCACACTGAATGTCCACAACCCCTTGGAGATTTACTTCTATGATGGCCCTCTGAGATACTATCCTACATTAATAGGTGTAATTTCTATCTTTCCTTCTCCCTCTATCTGAGGTTTTTTAGACTACAGACTGATAGCTCTTCAAACTAAAGACAAGACAACAGGCTAAGCTCCAAGAACATCATATGGGCTGAGAAATTTGAGCCCTGGTTAGGGATAGAGTCCACTGTTGACAAAACACATAACTTTCATTAGTAGTAATGCACAACACAAAAGAAGCCAAACAGGGAATGGATCCAGAGCTCCAAGGAAAAGATCCATGGCCCACGTAAAAACAAACAAACCAGCCATTAGCTTTTTGCACTGGCTCCCAAGGTTTTTGATCAATGCTTTTGACCCATTTGTAGACTCTCAGAAATTATGCAGGGCTGCCCAAGGCAATTCTCATACAAAACATTTATCTGAGCCTAAAAATAAATCTGACTCCAGTGTCCTATCCATAAAGAATTTGTGATTCAGTAAACACAATATAAATATAGAAGGTAACATGTTACAGAAAGATGTTCTGCTAACTTCCTAGCCAGTGCCTACTTAGGAAATCTGAGCTAGTGACTGACACATTTCTGAGGGAAGAGGAGCAAGCAGAAGCATACCTCAGCCATTTTAGGATTCCAGCCACCATGGCCCTCCTGCATCTCCCTCAAGATGTCAATGTCCAGCAGGCACTTCACCTTGTCACCATGCTGGAATGGATGCCTGTCTGTGCTTTCCTTCCTCTGCAGTTCAGCTGGTTTTCCTGAAGAGAAGAATGACACCACCCACATTCATAAATACTGGATGCAAAACCAAGCTTTATGTCTTTTTTGGCTTTACTGGGACAGAATGGTTTAAAACTCTTGTTCTGTTGCGGAGTGCAAGAGGATTTAGCTCTGGCTGGATATTGATACAGGTTAAACATCAGGTAGTTCTAACAAGACATAATTTTGTCCCTTCTCAGAGAGGGGAATGCCTTTGAATGATGCCTCTCATGTCATGTCAGGCACCAGGAGCTGTTCTTAGCAGCTCAGTCACCCACAACTGCTGTTCAGCAGACACACCCACATGATACCTAAAATAAGTGCTCTCCTACAGGCAGCCACATAACTTGCTTGGTGGAGTGCTTCACCCTCCTGGCCTTTCTGGGTAGCAAGAGGCCATGTCCTTGGAAATAAGCTCCTCATCTAACCCTTCCCTTCCCTCAAGCTCTTGCCAAGATGCTCAGGGAGAGGAATGAATGAGAAAGACCTGATTCCGCTGCTGTGAATTCAAGAACAGACATGTTTTCCTTCAGGAGAGCAAAAGATGGCCCCTGAACCTCATTTAAAAGACTACAACTAAAGAGTAACTAAGACTTAAGAGGAAAGGTGGATTGCAGTAAGTTGCCAATACAGCCATCACCTTTTTCCACGACTTTTTAATCTCCCTGCTGGGCAAGTATGTGGCAGCTCCATTCTCAGAAATGTCCCTTTGCCACATTCCCCTTCAAGACACTTTTTTGTCCACCACAACAATGACATTTCCTCTCTAAAAGCACAGTGAACACCAGCTGGACCACTACTTGTCAGAAGAATGAAAGCCTTTGAATTAACAACACTGACACTGGGTTGAATCCTCTGCTGACAGACAAGCACTGCCAGGGGAGCTTCATGCACCTGCAGCAGCAAGAAGTTGCCTTGGCAGAAGATCCCTCCTTGGGATACAGCTTCTGATGGTCTTACAGTCTTACCACTGAAAGGCCAAACTACTTTAACTAACCACTCTGAAGTGAAGTGAGATGTTCACACAGAGACCACTGTTTCAGATGGTCACACATCATGTGGGGCCTTTATAAAACCACCTGCTGGTTTGTGTGTCTTCCAGGCAAAATGGCTTTAGTGTCAGGAAAGGGCAGCGTGAATCAGTTTCTCAACAAACCACTTGTCTCTACGCACCCAATTTTGGGAGATGCTCTTTGTAGTAAAAGCCACCAGATGCCTCCACAGTACATTTCAGATCCACCTTTCCCTTGTGCCCAACTCTGTAGACATTGGTGGTTCCATCAGACCAGGTGACACTGGCCACGCTGCGCCCGGTCTCCACATCCCAGCCACGAATATCAACCACACGTCCAGTTTTACCTTCACCACCTGAGGAAAAAGGAGGGGAAAAAACACCATCCAGCTTGCATTTTCATTGAGAAGAATATACAGAAACTCACCTGACACTGGGATGTTTACCAAGCTATAATTTAATGACATTTTTATCTTGACTAAGTAAAACACATGGAAAAACCTTTCCATTGCTCCAGCTGTTCACAACAGAGGAGTAGGGACAGAGCCAAAAATCAGGGGCTGGAGCAGATGAAATTAAACCATGAGACAACTCAGTTTGACCAGCTAGGAGAGAATCTCTACACTAAACCTCACTGAAAGCCAGCCAGCCAGTTATGTTGGAATACAAAGAGGGAAAAGCTGATTTCTGTGGAGAAGCAGCCATTTCTCCTGGTGCACAGGAACACTGCCTAGAGAGGCACCACACAGTGTCATGGCACCACACTGTGGCAAGATAAAAACACAGCAGCATTTCAAAATTCACCCAAGATCTTTAATCTCTCCCCAGCACTGGTGTGGTGGAAGAACATCAATTACAGTTTGTTCTGGTACTTCTCTTCACCTGCCAGGGCCCACCCTGACCACTACTGAGAAAAAACCTTGGTCAAATGGCAAATTTTGCAGTCAGTGCTAATTTTTGCAAAGGGCTCCAAGCAGCAGGAATACTAAAAACACACAGGCCCTTCATTTAGATTCCTCAAGCAGCTGCTATTGCCCTTTCCAGACACACAGGACCACATGATCAATACAGAAACTTACCATGACCCTACTAGAGAGTTTGCAAGGTTATTTATTACCACTATTTACATGTTACTTCCTTAAATGGAAATAGAGTTGATGTGTTAGCACTATGAGGAAGCTAAATTCAGAAGAGCAAATGGCTGTGGATGGGGGCAGCTCCATGATGGACAAGTCAGTGCTCACTACAGACCAGAGGAGCTGGCCTCATGTTCCTCCTCACTTGCCTCACACATAAAACTGCTTTCAGGTCACAATCACTGCAAGCAAGGCAAGTCTCAGACATGTAAATGTTGACCTGAACTCAAAAGGATGGATAAGCTGAACTGAGCATAAGCTTCTTTTGCTCTCAGACTCTGCAAGTATCAATGTCCTCCACTGAACCCAGACCTGCAATAAATGGTGGAGACCACAATGGAAACCTTTGGACTTTTAATTTTTAAGGGAAAAAAGAAGCTACAAGCAGTACAGTGTGTACAAGGCTCTGGATTAGAAATAGACAGTAAAGTTTCCTTAAACCTGTAGCACCACACAGAAACTGATATCAGTGAATTAGACAGTCATTATTCTCCAAGAGCAGCTCTAGAAAAGGCATTTTTGTCCCTTTCCATTTTCAGCCTGAAGTTACAATTCCTACAGAAATCAGAAACCATTCTCCAGCAATCACAGCAAACAAGTCTTCATTAATGCTCCATGTGAAACACTCCCTACAGATTATTTCTCTTAAAAGTGTCCAAATGTGGATATAGCAAAGAACTCCAAAGGAAAAAGGAATACTGTACACAATGTCAGATAAACCTTATTCCCACTGTGAATGGAAGGGTTTTCAGGAAAAGATTGGTCTTTATTTTCTTGCAACATGGTGTACATTTATAGTTCTATACAAGATGATTCCCATGAGTTTTCATATCTGTGAAACAGAAGCAGCAAAACTTGCCACACACACCCTGAATGAATGCATACAGTTCATGTCACTGATGTTTTTAAACAAATACAAGAAAACAAATAATATTAAATACCAGCAACCTGCATCATCAGAACAGCTCCCCAAGAAGCTACTGCTCAGCAGATGCATTTCCAACTAGCAATCTGGCAAAAAAACCCCAAACACAACCAAAGAAAAAAGATCAAACTTTTTTTAACAGGACATCTCAGAGAAGCTTACCATCCTGGTTGCCCCACTCCCAGTCAGGGCCACGGACTACTTTTGCCCCCTGGAAAGTCCCTTTTAGGGTGATGCGAGTCAAATTCTGTCGAGGACTCACCAGGACTCTGGAAAAAACAAAGATAAAACAAATGAATTTATTGTTGAATATTCACACTTTATAAAGCTCTGTTCCAACCAAGATCTGTCATACAAGCACCAAGTGTTCCACAGTAACATACAAAAAGCTTGAGTTCTGACAAGCACCTAAGTGAAAGAATAAAATAGCTGAACAGGGGCTTTGATCCTAAAAGCTGGTCTCCCAGAAAGGAAAGAATACTGAGGCACTGTTCCACTCGTGGCAGAAAAACAGCTACTGAGTAATACACTGGGCTAACTCGGTGAGGTTAAGGCAATACTAGTGGACATTAGTAGGGTGTACACTGCATGAAAGCTTTTGTGGCTCGGGCAGTCTCCCAGCTCCAAGGCATAAGGAGTTCAGCACAGTCCATAACCAAAGGTGCTGACTGCACAGCCCAGTTCACCTGCTGAAAAGCAGAGATTAGACCAGCACTGTTGTGACTAGACTGTTTCCAGGATAACACAGACTCCTCTCTCTGCCCTGCAATCCACACCACAGGCATACACACTGATCCACCCTAAGAATAATAAAAAAATACCTACGTGATAGTAAAGAGGGGATCTGACGTCCTGTTAAAGCAGCTTCCAATTCCCATAATGTTACAGCAGCTTCTCTGCTGCTCTTGTGTGTGCTGTTCCCAGCCTCTGGTCCCTAGCAGAAAGCTTTCTCATGAGGCACCAAGCCACCAAAGTCCTCACAGACCCGTTTGTTTTCCTCACCCAGGGTACAATCCACTTTTCTAGGTGCCTGGGAAGGTGCCACAATCCATACCTGAATTGTGCACCTCCTGGACGGGCTCTGAGCAACTCCCAGCCCTGACAGAGCAAACCAAGTTCAGCAGCTGTTTGCAGGGCAAGGGGAGGGGAAGGCTCCGGGGGGTAGGGCTGACCTCAGAACACTACTTATTTTCCATCTAATACCTAGAGAGAGGTGGAGACTCAGAAGGATAAAAAGCTTATGCCTGAACGTACTGTTTACTTATCCATCAGAAGCCTAAGTCTTTTACCTTCCTTAACTTGTTAGCAGATCTTCCACCTGTGCTTTACAATCTAATGTATTTAGAAAGAGGGAGAGATTATTTACACGTTCTTATCACTGTTGAGTGTTCATTATCCAGATTGCAGCTCAACAGGAGGGAGACTTTTTGAATTGTTGAGATTTTGTCTGTTTTAAACACCACCAAAGCTGGCAGTTGTTATGAAAGGGAAGATAATGAGAGAGGGGTAGGAAAAGGCTTGGCTGGGAAAAAGCTCAGCAGAAAAGAAACACTGATCAGCATTCATTTTATTGCACTGGCTTCTAAAACCAGCATGGATTTGTGTACTACATTGGGAGCTGCTTAGCTACAACATGCTATTTTCACTGGATTTTGTTGAATGCATTTCTAACACTTTATCAAAGATGTCAAGGTCACGCCCTGAGACCAAGTGATAAAAATATACTTCTCCAAACTCTGCTCTCACAAGGAAGAGGTTTGCAATGCAAAGATTTTCAGTGATAGTCAAATAAGGCACCAAGCCAAGCTTAAGTAAAGTGGTTAAACAGCAAAATAACCACCATTCATTACTTTCCTCGCAAGATTTCCCTTTTGTATAATCTTAACAGCAGTCATTGCCCATCTCAGCAGCTCTCACATCAACCTGTCACTTGCAGCGACATCTGTGGCTAGACACCAGGAAAACAAAGCTGACCAGTCCAGAAAGCTGAGTTTCCAAATAGAAGAAAGAAGTGTAACAAACACCCCCTCCCATTCTGCTTAAATGCACTGTAACCGCCTTCCTTCCCTGGCCTCACAAAGTTTTGACCTTGTCTTGAACCACCCTGCTGACCAGCACCACTGAGGAATGATGTGAGAACCAGATATCCTGAGCCAAAACATCTTGGGTTTTAATCTAATTCAACATGTTTTGCTCCAAATACTGGATAACAACCAAAGCTATTAGTGTGTTGCCAGAATACCCTGGGGATAAATTTAATCACTGCAATATTGCCTTTAATAACAATTTTAATTATGACAGCCAAACTCTGCAGCCATTTCTGCTCTGCAAATTCCAATGATATTAAATTACCATAGAGTCCAGAAATCTCTTGGGAGCATGGACTGTACAGAATGAATGTCTCTCTCTAGCACGCTGGGAACCACCCTCCTGTGCTGTGCCTGTGCTGAAATGTCACTGAGGTGCTCACACAGCCTTCAACATCCCTGAGAGCAATAATAAAATAAACAGCATCACCTGTGCTGTACAGGTAGAGACCCAAACCAACTGACTTGGACACATTTAAACAGAAACTACTTTTAATTGGCAGTAGTCATCTGAGGCCCTGCAAAAGTCAGAGCCCCTTCATACCAGGCACAGATTAATATATTTTGCAAGACAGAGGCTTCACCACCACAGAAAATCCTTATCAGAAGAAACAAGCACAATGCACGGGACTGCAAAGCAGAAGGAACAGTCATCCTGCAAGGTAGCAGGTCATAAATATTGTGTTAATCTCTTCAGAAAAGGCACAGCTGTGAACGAGAATCTCAGCTCACAGTGGATACAAACTCCCACTCCTTCCAGGATGGATGAAGATCTACAGTGGCTGCCTCAAGAAAAGCCAACATAAAGGCTTTACAGACACTGCAGGTAAAACTGACCTTAATGACGCACAGAATTCTAGGTTCTCTCACTGACCCCAGCAAAGCTTTTACTGAAACACTTCCAGGAAAGGATAAGGGTAGGAAATTCTGACAGATGGCAGGCGGATGCTGGTTGCTCAAGCATGAACCAGACTAAGACAAGGACACCAGTAAGTGAGGGATCAGGATCACAGAAACCTATTTCAGGAACTGTCTTGACCAAGAATTTCCATTGTCAATCCCATCCTTCCTTGCCGTGTTGTTCTTCACAAAACCAACTGTATGCTTTTACCCTCAGACACCTGCCATCTTTTTTTGCCAACCTCCTCTTTTGCTAGGTCCTATCAGGCTCAGTTTTGGAAAGCCACAAAGAGCAAGATTTCAGACCAAGACTACTAAGTGTGAGCTAAAATGTGTGTGTGCACCTAAAACTCAAAACTGTACTGCAGACAGAGGGTTTCTCCATATGCTCTCAGAAATGTCTATATACAGCCTTTAGCAGCAAGTGAAATGTCTCATTATCATCCTTTAAACAAGACTGTTAGTTCAAAACAGAGGCTGAGGATGCTTTAGTGAAGGATTTCTCTTGCTTACAGTTTTGCTCATGTAATTCCAGAAAAGATAAAGACAAAATACATCACTGAAATGTAATCCCTGTCCCACAATTCAAACAGAATATTCCAAATTACATCAGGGAAGACCTAGCGTGGGGATGTGCCCTTGCAATGTACGTGTGGTTTTTTTAGGGAGGTACAGTTAAGTAGTTTATCTGGTAAATCTTTGTGTTTTTTAAAAAACAAATAAAAGTATACTGAATCATGAACAGAATTAATTCATATTAATGAATCATTTTAATTATTAAATTTAATGAGCATTTCAAAAAAGCTAGGAAACAAACATCATCACACAATCAGATTTGATTCAAAATACTACCAAATTTCGTAATCTAACAGCTTAAACTGACATTGCATAAATAACACATGTTGAAGAGATTACTACAGTAAATAAACCTGCATCCCCTTTATTGCCTAGTAATCAAACACCCAGCAATTGTCACTCAGCTGCTGTATTAGTCCAGGCTTACAATATTAGAAGCACAGATGGAAGGCTGGATTATTAAGGCTGCCTTGAATGGGTCTGTGTTGCACATGCATACCAAAACGACAGCATGCACTTGTTCTTGTAATGGAGCTGATTTAGAAATCCAACTGGTAACTAGACTAGACAGAGCTGGTTTCTGAATTATAGTTGAAAATAACTCTGTTCTGACTACAATATAAAACACAACGTGAGAAAATATTTGTATTTCTTATGCTTGATTACACAAAAGATTCCCCTGAATAGTTTGCTAGCTCCTTCAACTCCATTGTTCTCCAGAAACAAAATAGGACTTTTGAAAAATTGTTAAGGTTGTGATTTATTGGTGGGTGAGGTGCAGATAATAGCCTGGGTAAAATGCATCACAACCCCTACTGAGAAGGTGATGCAGCAAAATGCTAGTGCTACTTTGGCACTCAAATGTAAGAATAACAATATTTGTACAAGAGGAAGATTATCTCACACTTGATTATTTGCAGAACTCATCAGCATGCCTATTTCAGCCATAACATAAACCTGATGAGTTTTGCTTCGCTAACTTGCTTACACACACAGATTTATCTTCCAATTGCTAAGCACATATTTGGCAAATGGATCCATGATTGAGAAAAAAGGCCTTCAGTGAAAATGAGCTGTGTCCAAGCTTTTAAACCAAGGATGACAGCCTCTCCTCTAAAATACAAACCAAACAAGACCAAGTAAAAATACCAGCAATAGGCAAATGTCATGAAGAGACTACTCCAAATGGTGAAATATAAAATTACCAGTACTTCATGCCACCAGAGGGTCAAACTCAGGTCATTACGACCTGAAATAGCTTTCAGGAAAAGGTGTCATCAAAGCCTCTTTAGAAAACTGATTGGGAACCCTCTGCAGTGACTGTCTGGGCTTAAGGCCTCCTAAATCCTAGGATTAGTGAGCTGCTACAAACTGCCATGTGTTAGCCTTGCCCAGGCTGAGCTGCACGGGTGCCATGTGGTGGGTCTGGCATCAGCAGTGCAGGTGGGAGCCATTTACTGCACAGACATCCCACTGCCAGCTCCATAGTTCTCCTAGCACAGGCCCCACTTCCTCTGGGGAAGGATCAGCAATGGCAGGAGTTGCAAGATGGAGCATGGTGATGCTCTCCAGTGGAGGCCATGGAGGAATTGGGAACTCCCAGCTCTTGGACTTCAGTTAAAGAGACAGTTGCAGTGACAGCTGCATTTCATGGTTCTACATTTGATCCCACTGATGTAAGCTTATAAATATATAAGTAGTCCCTCCTTCATTATGCAAAACCAAGATTATGGGATCCTGTCAGATTTGGTGGGCTGTCTCTCCATCCACTTCTCTTACAAGCTTTTTGACTAATTAACACTCCAGTGGGCTTTGCCTGGGACTTCAGAGCAACACACTGCTGTGCTTGGGGCTCCCTGTAAACAACCAAAAGATACTCATTCCCTGCCAGGAGGTGAGAGAATCCTGACCTCTAGAAGAGACTCATCCTGTGTTTCACAGCCATTCAAACAACAGTGTGTAGCAACAAAACCTCAAGCAAACCCAAACCCACACAGCAGTCACCATGTCTTTAAACACAGAGCTTTTTTTTTGTTTTTTTGGTCCTTGGGGAACTGCCAAAGGTTTTCTCTTCTACTTTATTAAGAAAAAAAAATTGAGATGAGGGATTGAAGCAATAGTCCCAGTGACTCATAAATACGCAGTTTTTGTTCTGTGCAAAGGATGCTGCATTGCCTAAGGCAGTGTGTGTCTTTACAGCTCAGACCTCAGTTATTCCAAAGAAATCCTCTCTATTGCATCAATCAAAGGTGATCTCCCTCCATGCCCCTTGTTTCTTTTTTTAATTTTTTTAAAAATCAGAACATGAATTCTTAATGAAGAGGAACCCACGGGACACTGGACCAACAACAGGATTACATTTGCATTAAAGCAGAGGTGCTGCTACTTCTTCCTGCTCCTGCCCTGCAAAACATGTCTGAGTAAAGCTCTTTCAGTTTGGCACCTCCCTTTATGAAAACTCTTCCGCAAAATTCATGCACTGCAGTTCCTACTACTTTTTCTAAAGGCAACAGGATTACAAGATTCACCTTCATGCCCATCTTATGAGGCACAAATTAAATTAGTGTTGAGACTTTCTCAGTTCTTCCTCATGACAGGAGAACAGACCTCTATCTTTTGGCACAAAATCGTGGATACTCTTCCACAGGCATCAGTGTAGCAGTCATTTCCAGTAATGCTAACATGCAGAGTACAGAGCAACTAAGAAGATGTTCTTCAGTCAACAGCAGAGAACCTGAGAAGAAATCAACTGTTTGGGAGTGCGAGATTCCCATCAGCCTCCCTGTGACCACTCAGCTATCAGAGAACAGCAAACAGCAAAGCATGTCTAAAAAATTATTAAATTAGGGGGGGAGGAAAAGAAAAACCAGAGCAGACAAACATTCCGAATTTTCACCTTAATTTAATTTCTCAGAAAATTCTGCTGATTTCTATTTGCTGTCTTTTTTTAAACAGCTCCATTGAAGTGCCATATCCAGCCTTACACTGTTCTATAGAACAGTGATCCCCAACACTTTCAGTAAAAAAATGCTGAGCACCCCTCAATATAGGTAGGTTTATTTTTAAATAAATTTTACGGCCATGTACTAGTGAGGTTCTAGTATGTTATTCCTGTACCTCAATGGATCATCTCACACACCCCCTGAGGCATGCAAACCTCATTCTGGAGACCACTGCTAGAGAGCAGTGACCTGTAAGTCCCAGTCTGGCTATCTGGACTGCCCCCATGCAGCACTTACGGCTGGGAATGCGCCGTCTCGTAGCGTTCGAAGGAGTGGGAGAGGTCGTGCTTGTTGTTCATGTAGCACTGGGTGCACAAGTCATAGTCAAAGCACATCTTGCACTTCCACCGCATCCCCCGGATGCCGTGCTTCTTGCAGCAGTCACAGATGATGTTAGGGTGACGGACACCTGGGAGAACAAAAGCAAAGGAACTCAGATCTGCACAAAACCCAGGGAAACTAGGCTGACCACGCTCTCTACATCCTGAGGAAAAAAAGTCCTGTGCTGTGTGTGTATTGAGGATGGTGCAGTGATATAATAGGAAGTGAGATGTGGAATATAAAGTATCCATCTCCTGGCTTAAGAGACTCCCATCCTAAAAGTCATGGCAGAATCCAACCCTTCTTACCTATTTGTGCATTATCATACAGAAGAAGGTCGTAAGCCCCTTGGAATCCAGTGCGGTAATTGGTTCTGTTGCCTTGATCCCACTGCACGACCACAGTCTTATCTGGAGTGGTTGGGCTGCCTGTCCGACCAATCTCCACCACAGTCCCAACATTCCCTTCACCGTTGTCCTGGTTGCCCCACTTCCAGTCCACTCCACGAACTACCCGCATCCCAACCTGCATGCTGGCATAGGGGTCCACGTCCATTGATCTGCAAGGCAACCCCTAAAATCCTTCCACGTGAGGGGTCTTGGAGTCAGGCAGTATCATCAGCAACACCCTCAGCATCGTCAGCAGCATGTTCAGCACACCTAATAAGACAACATACCATTGAGTGATGCCACTCAACACATCCCATTTTCCCCAGAATGACCTGGCTACAGAAGAGGCCTGACCTGCTGAGTAGATAAATCTGTGCTTGATTTAAAACAGGAATGCTCACAGCTTTAGCACCAATGGCAAGGATACACTAACTAGCCAGACTTCCAAGGCACAGAAACATCTGCGTGTCCAAAAGACTTATTCCAGAGCACAGAGTATGAGGGAAGAGAACTGAGCAAGAAGTCTTTACAAAACTTCAATACCAACCCTTGATTTCAAACTCAGGAATATGTGCAACAGCTGCTAGAAACAGAATGGAAACAGAAAAAAAAATGCCCAGTAAATAGAGTTGTAAGAAATGTGCAGGAAAACGCCAGCACTGCTTTAGCAACAAGAAGTCTATATAGTCTATTTCTCAGGAAGACTCCTCATATACACTTACCACATAACACTGCAGTGTTGAGTTTCAATTGCCCATAAAGTTAGTTTTGGTTTTGATTTGGGGATACAGGAAGTTTAAAGATGCATATTAAAGAAATGTTAGTCTGTTTTCCAAAAGTAATAGCAGATTTTTAAAAGGTGCCAATGCCAGAGACATGTCAATCTTTTGCTGCTGTTTATCAATGGAGGCCATGGCAGGAACAGGGAAGGGTTACTGCTAACCTGCAATAAGCACTGCAGATTTTGTTCTGGGATCAGTAAAAGCCTGGGATGACCATTCAAACTGTTGCCATGACAGTTGGTAAATGAGGTGAACACCACATGGATGCAGCACATCCACAGCTTTGAATTAAATCAAATAGATGGTAAAAGCCTAGTCTATGTCTCTACCAGAACAAGAAGACAGGGGCTCTCAATATTTCGGGTCAAGCTGCTGGTCTGACTTCTGGAAAAATCTCCTGTAGCAACCTTTTTCTTTGGGCATCCCTGGGGACTCCCTCTTTCTCTCAATCTATCCACAACATCAAAACTTTTTCAAAATTTGAAAAAAAACAACAGAATGCCAAGGGCCAAATAGTGCAAATTCTAAAAGTAGAGCAAACCTTACCAACTGCCATGACCCTGGGCCAGTTCAAACCAGGCTGACAAACCTGGTTTAGCTGACAAGTTAATAGGATGTGTACTCAGACACTGCAACAGGAGCAGCTCTGTGCCATCCATGTGACATGCTGTTAACACTACCACCTACCAATAAGCGACTGAAACCACTGAGGCCTAAAAATAAACTCTTCCTCCAGTCAAACACCCCCTTTTAAATGTATGGAGGAGTAGTTTGATGCAAAATTATGCAGAAAGAGCCTGATTTCTGTTCAGCTTTAGCATCTCTCTAGCTTTAGACTTTTCCTGCTGTGCATCGTGGTGACATCCAAACACCAGTCACACAAGAGCAACATCAAAAACAAATGTCCTTGTGAACATCATGTCATCTTTCCTTCTAATCATCACTAAAAAATGCCTTGAATGACACTTTCACTTAGACTTCCTTTGTGGAGGTAGATGTAACATTGCTGAGTTTAAGGTACACTAGTGTTTGTTGTCCTTATGAAAGCAGAAATAATAAAAAATAAAGAATATCCTTTTCAGAAAGCATTGCAGAGCCTAATGACATTTGTATGATCCCTTCTTCCTCCAGATGAGATGAATAAAAGACAATTTATTGCTTTAACTAAGAGGTGGAACTCGTTTTATAAAAGGCTGCTATCAACCAGTCAAGACAGACAAGCCCACTGCTCAGAAAACAAATGGAAACATTCAACAATACAAAGGTACAAAAGATACACAGTTAAATTATTGCTATATGGCTTTTCCTTAGAAACAACAAGGTGAGGGGAAGTAGTGGGAAATGGAAATGCACACTTAGGGAGGGAAACAACAAATACCATAGGGTTGTTCAGGTGTAGACAGTGCCACCTCCCAGCCTTAAGAGTTCTATGCTAGTTCAGTGGACCATTTCCCTCTCTGCAGGAATGAATGAAACATCACAGCCTTCAGAACTCTTGGCATTTCAAGGAAGGCAATGCCAGTTTCAAAAATTATTCATCACAGAAGAATATTCCAGGCTGCACCACAAACCCATAAACTTTAAGTCACTGCAGTAAAAAGGAGGACAATCCCTTGCTACCTGAAAACAGCAGAGCAGGCTGACATACTGTGTATCGTGACACATGCTCAGCAGAGCAGTCAAACAGCAGACTAGCAACCTCAGGGCAGAACTGCCTTGGTCCTACAAATGTGTGACCCACACACAGGGAAACCCACACTTTCTCTGTGCGCCTTCCCACTAGTTTTCTGAAGGGAATGCTACAGAGATCTCTTCTTCAAACTGCCAGTGAAAACCAAAAGCTACACGAAGACTCTGTAGGAAGAGTCCTGGAGACTCCCATTATGACACTGCTCTGGGAATTTACCTATGGATGAAATACGACATGCCAACATCAGACATCTTGCTGCAGACCTGCCTATAGACAGCAATCAGATCACAGGTCAGTATCACAGGTACCAAGTTGCAAGGACAAAACTCCATCTAATCAGCAACCCAAGATAAGCTGGATCCAGACGGAAAGACTTTTACTGCTGCGACAGGCATCAAGCTTCCCGCGGTTCTGCAGGTCCCTACGACTCACCAAGGAGCTACACATGTACCCATCCCACAGCTCCAGGAAGCTATGGAGCTGCACACTGTTCAACTGCACACTCGTGATGCTGAGTACCAGTTAATGGAGTTGTCTGTGCTGCAATGACCTTCCTGCAATCCCTCGCTCTCTGATCTGAAGACTGTCTTCTTAATGTGAATGCTCCATTTTCCACACAAGAAGGGACCAAATGCATTCTGCATTCCTGTCTGATCTGCAGGGATGGATGTATTACAAGAGTAAAGAACCAGTCTTTAGGAGATGAATTACAATGCTCATGCAGTTTGAACCTTGACAGAGATCAGTATTATTTACTTCCTAAGTGGAAATGTTTCACTCACTGAAGCAAATACTCCTCCCTCAATGCTGTCTGGGTCATAATTATTCCAGGGAAGGAGAGGTACAGCTGCCAGAATTGATTTGCAGAAAAAACATCAGTTTCCCATGGGAGTTTAAAGTAACTATGAATAAATAATCCATTATAATACACAAGCATATTTCTTAATCCTGACCTACCATTCTGACCTCATCTACTGTGACACAGGAAAGACCAGCCCAGGTGTAATCTACCAGTGCATTCTTAGGAAATCCCAGTAATACTTAACTGGGAAGACAGGGAAAATACTTTAGCACCTTCAGTCCACAACATTTTAGTTGTAATAATTGTTGTAGCTTTCTGCCATTATTCAAACTGTGCTGTTGATAGAAGGTGCTCCAGAGGCAACCTAACATCCATCTCCTAAGAGGCAAAGGTTGCTGCTGTCCTGGGTACACAGTAAACAGAACCCAACAGTGGTGTAAGCAGATGGACAACATCAGTGCATGGAACTTGGTTATCAAGTTATTTAAACAGTATAGCAAACAGAGGAAAATGAAGGTGATTTTGTTTGTTGTTTTTGTTTGTTGTTTTTTTTTAAGCAGCTTTTTTCTTTTCCTTTAGGCATATATTGCAGTTGGAATGAAGCAAATACTCCTCCCTCAATGCTGTCTGGGTCATAATTATTCCAGGGAAGGAGAGGTACAGCTGCCAGAATTGATTTGCAGAAAAAACATCAGTTTCCCATGGGAGTTTAAAGTAACTATGAATAAATAATCCATTATAATACACAAGCATATTTCTTAATCCTGACCTACCATTCTGACCTCATCTACTGTGACACAGGAAAGACCAGCCCAGGTGTAATCTACCAGTGCATTCTTAGGAAATCCCAGTAATACTTAACTGGGAAGACAGGGAAAATACTTTAGCACCTTCAGTCCACAACATTTTAGTTGTAATAATTGTTGTAGCTTTCTGCCATTATTCAAACTGTGCTGTTGATAGAAGGTGCTCCAGAGGCAACCTAACATCCATCTCCTAAGAGGCAAAGGTTGCTGCTGTCCTGGGTACACAGTAAACAGAACCCAACAGTGGTGTAAGCAGATGGACAACATCAGTGCATGGAACTTGGTTATCAAGTTATTTAAACAGTATAGCAAACAGAGGAAAATGAAGGTGATTTTGTTTGTTGTTTTTGTTTGTTGTTTTTTTTTAAGCAGCTTTTTTCTTTTCCTTTAGGCATATATTGCAGTTGGAATTGACTTCTCCAGTGAATTACTCCACCTCAGAGAGCTTTGCCTATCCTAAGGATGCTTCCTTAAGTGCTATGGCAGATGCAAATCCCACAGTTGTTCAAAAGAGCTTGCACAAGCTTTGCAAAGCTCCAACTTTGATATTCCTCTAGTTTCTGAACATCCTTTGTGAATGCACATGGAGATGGCTGCAGCAGAACTTTTATTACAGGGTCCTTTCTGCACTCACCTCAGCCTGGAATGCTCAGCTTCCCCAGCTGTTAATTCATCAGCCACAAAAGAAGGAATTATTTACGTTAAACATTTTTGAAACTAAGATCATCCTCCATGTCTTACTATTTCCATTCTTTTTGACTCTTCCTTCTCCTCAGGTACAGTCTGTTATTTTGGATAGTACATCTCTAATAACTGAAGACCCACAGCATCCCACACCCACCAAAGAGCCAACACTGCCCATAATCCAAGGAACACAAAGCACACGCGGGCTACAAAACCCCTCAAACTGACCCAACCCGATCCTCTGGAGCCAGCTCAGGTAGGTTGGGGCAGAGGAAGCCCTGCTGCCAGCCGAGCCCAGGCGGGAGGCTCGCTGGGCCCCCGGGAGCCGGAGGACCGGC